CACAGAGACCTTGATGCTCACACTATAGTCAATGATGTAAACCTATATGATGCTCACAGTGTGCAGAGGAATCACCGTACACATTTTCAGTACAGGAGAGGAACCTGAACAACTGTGCAGGACTGGAGGGGAAGCCCGAGGTTGCCACCTATTGCCACCACCAGAGAAGAAGAAGGACCCCTCGAGTCACTATCCCAGGCCAGAAGACAAAAAACAAAAGTTGTGTGTACCCGTCCTCAAGTAATGAGCTGGAGTTCTGCATTGAAACCCCCCAACCCTCAGCGGACTAGATGATCTCTAACCAGTGGAAAAATTGTTCATGCTGGAGAAGTGTTCACTACATAGTATTCATTAGGGATGCACCGATACTAGTATAGAATACTCATACTCACCCAAATGCTCCGATACTTACCTCTGATACCGGAAATTCCGGTCAGAGGGACCCGCCTCCTGGCTTCCTGATTGGCTACCTAGCAACAAGTGACGCTGGCTTCCTAGCCAGGCAGGGAGGTGGGCCATGGTGTGCTGCCCGGCTTCCTGATTGGCTAGGAAGCCAGCTTCACTTGTTGGTAGGCAGCCTAGCTTCCTGACCAATCAGGAAGCCAGACAGCACCCCATGACCCACCACACGGCTTCTTGATTGGTCAGGCAGCCTTAGCAAGTGAAGCCAGTGTTCTTTCGATAGAACACCGGCTTCCCAGGCAATCAGGAAGACGGGCAGGAGGTCATGATCCACCGCCCGTGGTCCTGATAATCATGGCACTGGTATTGGTACTCGGTGTCGGCGAGTACCGAAAATAAAATATCAGTACTCGTACACGATAGTGGATCCCTAGTATTCAATATTGTATAATGTGTTAGTTTCATTGGCTGCCGGGGTTACTTGGCCAAGTGGGAGAGAGAACTATTTCAATAACGCTCAACAGGCATAAAATAAAAATATGTCCTTGGTACACCCCCTACCCACCCCATTACCCCATGGAAGCAGTTTTAAAGCTGAACTCCGGGATGAGCAAATATTCTAAATGAAAGAGACCTGTGTATTCCTGTTTGAATCTTTGTGTACTTTGTGTATTTCTTCCAGATCTGTGCAGTGATTCAGTGTGAAACGTTACCTCTGTGCAGGAGCTTCCTGTAATAAACACCAGTCACTACTGCCTCTCTCTCATTGTACAGGATGACTGGTCTTGTATCCGCCCCCTCCTGTAGTTTTCTACAAGCAGCCTGCTGGGCCCCTCCCACAGCTCTGCTCTCAGCACAGGCTATGTACAGCACGACAATGATGACAATGCTACTTTTGCTATTAATATCTGGATTTGCAAAGGCATTTGGTGCACAAGAGGTGGATTTTTATTCTTTGTGGCTATTCAGGAATATATAAAAATGAAAGTTTGGGGTTTTTTTGCCAGGAGGTCAGCTTTAAACTTCTGGCTGGGTAGTAGAGAGGCGAGAATCAGGATTCCTTCTTCTTCATTTGGTGGTCCTGCCTGTGAATTAAGGAAACGTGGAAGTAAATACAATATTAACCTGAACAGTGACCTCCATCTCCCTCCCTCTCGTCTCTGATCATTGTGATTCACAATACTGCAATTGTTACTAGTAGGGATGCACCGATAGCAGTTTTTCAGTATCGAGTACCAATATTTTTTTCCCGGTACTCACCAATACAGAATCCCGATATCGGAAGTCCCATTAGGGAAGCCAGGCGGCGTGTAATGACTCGCCACCTGGCTTACTGATTAGCCGGGAAGCCTGGCGTCATGTAAAGACTCGCCACCCGGTTTCTCGATTATCAGAAGTCCCTTGTTACCAGGTGACAAGAAGGCATGGAGTTGGCTTTCTGGCCAATCAGGAAGCCGGGCACCCTGTAATGACGCGTTACCCGGCTTCCTGATTGGTCGAGGAGCTGGCCAATCAGGAAGCCGGGCAACGCTTCATTACACGCTTCCCAGCTTCCTGATTTGCCAGGAAGCCGGCCCCATGCTCCCTCGTCACAAGTGATGAGGGAGCATGGAGACGCCTTTCCGGCCAATCAGGAAGCTGGGCAGCATGTAATGACTCGCTGACAGGCTTTCTGATACTGGAAACTTAAGTATCGGGTAGGCATCGGAGCATCGTGCTCGCCCAAATACTCGGCAATTGCACGAATACTAGTATCGGTATCAGTGCATCCCTAGTTATTAATAAAATAATATGGCTACACACAGCCGTAGGCCCTTTGGCTGATTAGTGCAACACATAGGTGTGAATGGGCCCTTAGGTCAGACTATCAGACCCTTTACATCATGCGGCCTGGATGGCTAGTCTTGAAAGGTCAATAATTCCCATACTCTGCTCCACAAACCAGTAACGGTACTACATGCCTCCCCCTCCCCCTTGTGTCTGTCTCCTGGTTATGTTTTGTTCCCTTTTTGCCCATTTTCATAGAAAATTGTTCTCTGCAATGTTCCTTATTTTAGTTGCCCTTGTGGCCCAACATGATTGCGCTGCATTCTGAGAAAGTGATGTAACTTGGGATGTATTCTGTTTGTGGATAATGGAGGCATTATCTTTGTACCTGTGTTCTTGTTTTCTACAATGAAAATACTTCATGAACCGCCCCCGCGCTGCAAGGGTTAAGTGGTTGTTTTTCTCTAAGGACCAAAATAACAAAGTTATACTCACCCGATCCTCTGAACTAGCTGGCTGTCACAGCATGTCTCCTCCCATGCTGCAGTGATGTCACTCGACGTCCTTACCTTCTATACACTGTGCATTGAATGTGATGACTCGAGGATGCTTGGACCACCGCAGCGGAGGGGGAAAAACGCTGGAAGGAACGCTCTAACAGCAAGCTGGCTCCGAATATAACTTTGTTATTAAATGAGCAGTTAACCCTTGCAGTGTGGGGGCAGCCTGGCGTATTTTCCCCCGGAGTTCTGCTTTAAAGCCCAACTCCAGGCACTTCCGTCCAATCAGCTGCAGCCTGGGTATCCCCCGCCCCACAGCTGCATGTAAACAAAGGGGAGAGATGCTTGTGATGATGTAATTTACTTTATATGACCACACAGCCATATTAGGTAATGTAATTTAACAAATACAGGCATGTAACCATACAGTATAAGGTCAATGACATCATTGCATCCTGCGCCTTTGCTTACCTTAAGCTGGGGGTGGGGAATTCCTGGACCACAGCTGATTGAGTGGCAAGGAAGATGCTCATTCCGTGTTCAGGAGACGCTCCTTCTGGGTTCAGGAGGTGCTCCTTCCGTGTTCAGGAGGTGCTCCTTCCATGTTCAGGAGATGCTCCTTCCATGTTCAAGAGGCGCTCCTTCTGGGTTCAGGAGGTGCTCCTTCTGTGTTCAGGAGATGCTCCTTCCCTGTTCAGAGATGCTCCTTCCATGTTCAGGAGATGCTCCGTCCCTGTTCAGAGATGCTCCTTCCATGTTCAAGAGGCGCTCCTTCTGGGTTCAGGAGGTGCTCCTTCCGTGTTCAGGAGGTGCTCCTTCCATGTTCAGGAGATGCTCCGTCCCTGTTCAGAGATGCTCCTTCCATGTTCAAGAGGCGCTCCTCCTGGGTTCAGGAGGTGCTCCTTCTGTGTTCAGGAGATGCTCCTTCCCTGTTCAGAGATGCTCCTTCCATGTTCAGGAGATGCTCCTTCCGTGTTCAGGAGATGCTCCTTCCGTGTTCAGGAGGTGGTCCTTCCGTGTTCAGGAGGTGCTCCTTCCGGGTTCAGGAGGCGCTCCTTCTGGGTTCAGGAGGTGCTCCTTCCGTGTTCAGGAGATGCTCCTTCCGTGTTCAGGAGGTGCTCCTTCCGTGTTCAGGTGGTGCTCCTTCCGGGTTCAGGAGATGCTCCTTCCATGTTCAGGAAGTGCTCATTCCGTGTTCAGGAGGCGCTCCTTCTGGGTTCAGTGGAGCTCAGGTTCAAATCGCGTTTGAACTGCAGGGGCACAATGGGGGAAATTCATAAACACTGGAGCAGGCAGTGCATAGAGCGGATCTCTCTATGATGACAGTACACAATGCACACGGAATTGCTATTTATAAGCCCCCCAGTAAATTGATGTGCGTTTCCAGAAGAGCTTTCACGCTGGAAACTCAGATCCCCATGTTGTTCTATTGCGTCCGTTCACATGTGAGAGATGTGCTGTCACTCAACAGTGGGAGAAAGCATGATCGCAGGTTTTAGGCCCCAATAGTATTCAAGGGCAGCGCCTAAAAACCTGCGTCATGTGCGTTTTCACCTAACAACCATCTTCTCCTCCTCATAACAACTAGCTTTCCAGTGTACAAATGTGCAAAAAAAAAGTGAAAACCGACCAAAGGCACCGACTCTCAAGTGTGAATGTAGGCTACTTGTTTTCACCCAACATTCACACAGCTCCTACCTAGCTGTCACACATTTTCCATGTGAGTCTTCTTTGAAAGTTGTGTGAATCTTGCATGATAAATAGAGCCCGTAGATAACATTTATAGCTGCACGTTCCGTGAATGGGCACCAATCGCACTTTGACGGAAATGCAGCAAAACGTGCAACATACAAACATCGCCATTAGTTTCTCATGGCACCCCAAACGCAGCCAGGAAGACGTGCGTTTTTGCTTTACGATTGTGCATATTAAAACACGCACAAGCGCAGAAGCCAAACATTTGGTACATGAGATTTTTTGCTGCGTTTGGTGCGCACTTAGGTGCCACTGAACTCAATGGGCACGCACAGCAAACGCAGCACATGAACGCGCACAAACGCACATAAGTGTGCGCAAACATGCCACGTTCCCAGTATGCATAGAGGTGTGAATGTGGGCTTAGAATCATTATTTGTGAAAGATCTGATGTGTGAATGTCCTGTGTATGTTGATGTGAATCCTTACAGCTTGTGGACAGATCTTCCCCAAACCTGGGAAGCCTTGTATTATGTCTATGGACAGTGTTACCGCTGGTGTATGTATCTCTGAGCGTCAGCAGCCGGGACTACATCTCCCATGATGCTTCACTCTGACAAAGAGTCAGCTGCGGAAGTCAGCGTGATCTGTCCTTACAGAAGGGAGGAGGACTTAGCACAGGGAAATCTGGCATGTAATCAGCTCTGTGATCAGGAGAGAAGACTGTGTACAGCCCGAACACCTCCAGGTAGGGGCACCCACATCCCGGGGCAGAGATCACACAGGGGCAGGGGGGGGCTGCACTGGGGTATCAGGAAGAGGGGGGATATGAGACAGGAGGGGGGAGAGGAGCAGCAGCCTTATATATCAGCATGTCATAGAGTTTGAAGCTGAGTAGAAGAGGGCTGTTGTCCATGGCAACCCATCATTATATATGTGCTCTATGGGGGGAATCCAGCTATCTGATTGGTTGATGTTAACACAAGACTCCCTTCTGCTGACTTCACTTTTCACAAGTGAGTGCCAGGGCTTTCACAAGAGAGTCTCTCTCTCTCCCACTAACTTCCTGTTGCATTTCTGGGACAGGAAGTAAAGAGAAATGTCCCCAATGCTATACAGACCACAAAAAAGACACTGGCAGGGGCTTTAACCCTTCCACACTCTATCCAAAGCTAAAGAAAACCTGTTTGGGCTATACGTGCACTTTAACCATTTCTTACCCTATGAAACTGATTTAAAAACATTTTGACCTTCCATTTACTTCAAGCTGCAATAATCTGATCTTCCAGGACAGCTGTTGGCAGTTGTGGTCACCGCTGTGTCCAACTTGTAAATGGCGCCTTGTATTGGGGACAGAGGTCTCTTCTCTGATGGCCGCAGTTGTGCGTGGCTTCACCCGTACAGCCACAGCATCCATTCACAGGAACTTTGAATGGAGAGGCTACTTGGCAGAGGGACTTGTAGCTCTCAGAGCCCGTTCACACCAGGGTGGTTGCGGATCAGCGCGGTTACCACGCTAATTTCAAAAGGGAGTTTTTGGGAGTTTTTAATTGCGTGTCAACGCCCCATACTACGCTGATCAGCACGGTGCCATTGAGGTTTGGAAACCACACTGATCAGCGCGGCAAAAATAGTGCAGGAAGCAGTTCCGACCTGGGGACAGTCACATGAACTGTCCCAATAGCAATGTATGAGATCGCTAATGTCGGTGGATCCGCGCGGCCGAACTGCCCCGGTGTAAACGGGGCCTCAATGGGGTACAGGTGTGGTGACATCAACCGACTTGTAGTGCATTCATAATTCCTCCCGTCCGGTAACTGTAAGTCCGTATCTGGATATGTACAGAGACCAGGAGGGAGAATCTGCAAGAGTCAGAGCATTGCACCCAGGATCCACACATCTCAGTTGCAATTCTTTGCAGACTCCAATGCAAAAGAATATCAGATGCACATTTTTTTCTTAATGTGTAATAAAAGTAATAATTATTATTTATATATAGAGATAGATAGATATATATATATATCATTTTTTTGGTAAACGTGGCCTATGCCTTTAAGTCAGTGGTATCCGTTATCATGTAAGCTTAGTTCCTCCGCTGCCCCTTCCCGGGGCTAGTCATGTGACACACAGTGTTGTAATACACGCGGTTACTCCAAGAACATGAAATCTATCAGACACTGGCAGACATCTGTGAGACATTTACACTGGCCAATCACAGCCCAATAATCACAAGCGCTGCAATGACTTTCAGCACCACACAGGATGATTTTCATTGGATAAGGACCTGAGCCCCATGATAAAGTACCTACATGAAGGCAGAACTTTATTTTTCCAATAATTTGTATATTTGAGTTTATGTGATTGGTCTCTTGCTGGCTGGCACAACCCCTTCCATGGACCACCCAACACTGGCTTGGCATAAGGACACCAGTCACAAAAGACTTCAAAGCAAAACTCCCAGAACAAATTCTCTTCACGCCTGTAGTAGGGCTACCCCAGCACTGCAAGAGTTAAGTGCTCCTTTGTGTCTAGGTTAAAAAAAACAAGTTCTACTCCCCTGATCCTTGGAGCCGGTCAGCTCTGACAGCGCTCCCTCCAGCCTGTCTCCTCCTCTGCTGCAGCGATGGTATGTGCGTTGGCTTCCTCATGTCCTATACACTGTGTATAGAACGTGATGACTCAAGGATCCTTGGACTGCTACAGTGGAGGGGGAACGAGGCTGGAACGACCAGTCTAAAGCCCCGTTCACATTGAGCGATTTATCGCGCGGTAATTCCCTCGATATCACGCTCCAGTGCATTTCAATGGGGCAAAGGGTCCTGCTGTCGCGGGTCGTGTGTCGCTACAGCAGGACCCTTTTTGGAGCGGATTTAGCCGCGATTCAAGCTTGCTCAATGCAAGCTTGAACGCGATATCGCGCGGAAAATCTTGCGATGTCGCGCAATATGCAAATCACGCGACAAACGCGCAATTTGCATATCGCGCAGTGGGAACGGGGCCTAAAGGTGCCCATACACCTGACGATTATCGCATGATAATCGTGGGTGATCCCGCGATCCAACGATAATCGGCAGGTGTATGGGCAGCGCGCGACCTCTTCTACTGTAAAGTCGCACGACATTCGTCTTCCGAGCACGCTCGAAAACTTGCCGAAAATCATACGATTTTCGGCGGGTTAGTGGCGTGCTTGGGAGACGAATGCCGCATGGGCCAGTGTGCGCAAGCGCACACTGCCCGCTCAGCACTGCAATCATCGGAAAGCCCTCCCCTCAGCGGGGAGGGCTTGCGATCGCAAGTACGATCTGCCTGTCCAAGATGGGCAGATCGTACGAAATTTTTATTACCTTACAGCCATCGCACAATGAAAGTCGTGCGATGGTTGTATGGTGTATGGCCAGCTTAAGAGCAAGACGGCTCTGAGGATCAGGTGAGTATAACTTTTTTTTTTTATCTAGACACAAATGAGAACCTAACCCCAACCTAACCGGACCTGTTCACACAATTCTACTGCAAACCTTTTCTTCTTGTATACAGCGACATGGACGCCTACCCTCATATATTGCGTAATGAAGTAAGCATGCCTGTGTATTTAGTGGATGGGAGTGTTATGTCCGTGGAACGCAGTCTGTTACCTAAGAAAATGTAACTTGCCCTGCAGACTTTTTTTCCTCCCTCCCATCTGTTATCTGGTGGTGTTTGCTGAGGTCTGAAGGTCCTAAGAAACATCTGATTGTCCCTCAAACCTGCTAAAATCGTTAAAGGAGAACTATGTGTTGAGCGATTTCCGCTCAACCTCATAGTTAGAGCCGACGTGTGACAAAGACGCTGTCACAGGTCGGCTCTGTTGATCTGGAATTGAGCAGATACATGGAGCCGATCCGCTCACTTCCCAATCCTCTCCCTGCAGTGAGCCGTGACTGTCAGTCACTGCTCCCTGCAGGGATTCCCCCCCTCCAGCGCTGAGTGGTGGAATGAACAGGGAAGGGGGCGGGCACAGCTGGGTGGATCCAGATAGTATTGTCAGGATACATCCCGGCTGTGGCGCTCAGTATATCACGGGCAATTGCCTGCTATATACTGAGCTTTGGGTCACGGAGGACGTTAGTTTATGTCTTCCGGTGACCCTAAAGAGAACTATGAGGAAAACACTTACCCCATAGTTCTCTTTTAATGGCCGACATGTCTATTGGTGTGTTTAAGCAGTGGATTCATAGTGTTTTATAGTTGTATGTAGTAGATCAGGGCATAGGACCCAATAATCACCCGTTGTCCAATCATAGGAGGGTCATAATGAATGTTGTATTGGCCATAAAGGGGCTTTATTATCAGAAAATAAAATCTAGAAATGTCTTTACCATATGTGTGTACAATTTGCTAGAAATCCTCACTTACTGGGTTATCTTGTAGATCCTATATGTCATGTGAACATCCGGTTTCAGTTTATCAGGTTTATCAGGAACACAATCTCCCTTAAAGTGAAACTCCACTTTTATCGAGGGGGGCACAAGAAATCTTCTTTCCATGTCGGTTCTATACAATACAGCTCATTTCCTTCTGGCATGTTGCCAGTGTGTATAGTGTACAATTGTCTGATTTGAAGAGACAAACAGCTAAGAGATTGTAGCTGGAGACGGTTTACTGTACGGCCGTGTTCACTCTTCTGTTTTCTTGCAGTAAAACGCATTATTTTATTGCAATGACATGCATTGCAAGTGGAAATCTCATTGTCTCCTGTGCGGCTTTACAGTTTGGTGTGTTTTAAAAGGAAGATACAAGGTCCCATAACATAGGCATGTTTTTTTTGTGCAGTAAAAAGTACTTTTATTGAAGGACACAGCGGAGATCTTGAATCTCTGACCGTTGGGTTTTAGCTCCACTTTCAGGAGCAGGATATTGAGCACAAAAGCACAGCCTAGGAGTGTCTTCTAACAGTGACCAGACCTGTAAAACCAAAAATAGACGGTGCGTTAATTTAATATGGAGTAAAAATTGATCTGACACAAAAACTACTCGCATAGTGATGAGCAAGTCATATGCAACAGATTTGAAGAGCCCCTTGTCCCCGTTGGCCGCTCGATCGC